GGGGTGTAGGGGTAGTGCCCGTTGTTCAGGGGTGGGTATGAGGGCACTGAGGGCACTGAGGTGTAGTGCTGGTTAGGGGTCGTGTTGGGAATGTGTAGGTTGGGGGGAGGGGGCCGGGGGGTGTGTTCGGGGTCAGATAGGGGTTTTTTGGTCCTTTAGGGGTGTTTGGGGGGGGTGTTAACGAGGGGTGAATTTTTTTTTTTTTTTCCTGGTTTGAGTGTTCGGGCACGTAGACACACGTGTCCGAGGCCCAACGCGCGAATTTCGTTCTTCGGAATTCGACGTGACGCCCCCGTTTTCGCGTTTAACGTGATTCAACGGAGGTCCTGGGGCCCGTTAAACGGGTGTCCGGGCGTTTAACTCCGCCCGTTCTCCGTTAAAAGAATACAAAGCAGGCACTTGCGACGCGCCAGTTGGTTGAGAGAAACACAGGCCGAGCAACCAAGACATTTTCACGGCCTACCGGGCCTTTCCAAAGAATGCAGGCCCTGGGCGTGAATCGCAGCCTCATACACTGACAGTTGGGAGGCCCAACCGAACGAGGCCTAGTAGCTGCAGCGCAAAGGCAGCCTCATGAGGCCTTCCGGAAGCTTCTGTGCCCAGGCCAGTACAGCCAGGCTGCACGAGCAGGCCAGCCTATTCCTTAAAAGAAAGTGTTCTCCCCAGGCAGCCTCGTCCAGACACTCGCATGCTAGCGGGAGCGCTGCTGGAGCAAATGCTCGTCAGGTGCTGCTGGCGATGAGAGGCGAGGTGCAGCACGTGCAGGAAAGCAGGGCGCTGCTGAGGGCAGCGCCATAGCCCAGCCACCATAGCTGGTGGGCTTGAACTACAGTGAGGCGCATGAGTGGTCTTCGGGTGTCAGGGAGGAAGACCTGGGTGTAAAGTCAGGGAAGGGCGAAGGATGATGATGATGATGATATGAGGGCACATACCTTGTACTGGCGGTGGTCTGCATTTGGGTAACATCTTCATGTACTTTGGGTTGCCGCTGATGTCAACAGTTGCACTGTCTATTAGTAGGTTGATCGTAGTTGTGTAGCAGTAGGCTGGGCGTTGAGCGCCAAGTAGGAGTGTGAAGGGACTGGACTCTTGAGTTGTGGCAGAGAGAGAAAGCTCTCCTTAACATTGGTTTTCAGTACTACGAATCTCCATTGGTGTATTATTGGTGTAATGTTGCTCTCTGGACAAAGTGTGACTATCTGGCTTTCAATGTGATGGTGTAATTTGGAATTTGTCATCTCGCTGTTGCTTATTTTTCTTGCATATATATATATATATATATATATATATATATATATATATATATATATATATATGTGTGTGTGTGTGTTTTGGCTGTGACAGACCTTTGTTTGTTTCGTGGATGTTTTGTTGGCTTGTGATGGGGTGTGAACCGACAGTCTATAGAGTTTTCCATCTGGTGTGGGTGAGTGATAGTCTACTTTG